ATCTATCTATCTATCATCTATCTATCTATCATCTATCTGTCATTTACTTATCTATCTGTATTTTCTGAGTAGATGTGCTTTTTATTAAAAACTAAATTAATAATATTTGATTGATTCTTGCTTATATTTGTCACTTTTTTGTGACAGTCTGGCTACAGAGCCCTCACTGGCCTAGAACTCACTATGTAGACCAGGTTGGTCTTGAACTTGTGATCACCTTCCTTCATCTGCATGTGTGATTACATGTGTAAACCAACACATCCAGATTTTCTGCCCTTTTTGTTTGCCAGTAACCAAGTAACAGCCTTCCATTTTGGCTCAACTTAAATCTGTCATTCCTGGGAAAACTGAAGCTCATTATTCATCAATAATAGTATGCAAGGGCAAAGAACTTACAAAAATTAAAGACCCATGAAAAGATTTAATGTCTTCAATATCTGGGGGAAAATGTACACATTTCAATCTGGATTAATTTCAAATATATTTACACAATATATAATATTCTACAAAATATGTAATATAAATATATGAGTCCGAATGTGCCTAGGGGCCCATGGAAGACAAAGTATAGGCCTGCATTAAACAAGGAAGTTTTTGTTTTGTTTGTTTGTTCCACTGAGTATATTTTCTAACTTAAAAAAATTATTGAGAATTTCATACATGCATATAGGGTGTTTTGATCAAATCCATTCCTCCCTCTCCCACTTCTTCCATATCTCTCCATCACTTTTTCCTGAAAAACTTTGTGTACTCTTTCTTTTTGTTAGTGGGGCTTTTTGCTACTCTAACATTTCCCTCTCTGAAGAGGTAACCCTAAAATCTTTTAAGGATTAGATAAAAGCTCCCAAATATTTTTGACATTTTTGGCCTTTTGAACAGAATATATGGCTAAGAGGCCCAAAGATATTTTGATTTTTAACCAAGAAACTGGCTACTTTTCTTTGGGATATTTTTACCTAACTGCCTAGGCAATTATTACCTCCTATTCTTATCATACCATCCCCTGAAGAGGTTACCCAAATTGCCAATAGGGAATTGGGATGCAGACTGCTCTGGCTTCTTCCATGCTAAACAGGGACACAGTGTGAGGCAATTGGGGTACCCTTTTAGTGGGTCTATATAAAAGACTCCCAAATTTATAACTCTTAATTGTAGGGAACAAAGAAAGTCCTTGACTGGTGCCTAGGAGATGGGAAGGAGAATTAAAGGCAAGAGTAGTTAGCATTACAAATTCTAGACAGGGAACCATAAAAAAGTTAAAACAAGGCAAATTTAAAATGTTCATATCAGAGTCCTTTGGAATTTCTTGACAAGGGCTTCCGAAAGCATCCCTCCACTGGGTTCCTCCTCATTTTTTCTTTTGTCTGCCAAGGCTGACCTTGAGAGTGATGGACTCAGGATTTGCTTTCAGGCACTTTGATGGCTGTTGGAGTGGCTAGAATCAGTGTCAGTCCCCTTGCAAAGGCTTCTAGATAGGAATTAATTAATTTTAAACTATTTCGTTTCTGAGAACATCATACATGCGTATTGCATTTGCATTGTTTCCATCCTGCCGTTCCCTCTCCAACTCCTCCCCTGTCCTTCCTCCAACTCCCTCTCAATTTCTTGTCTTCTATTATTACTGTTACATACACATGCTTACATTCACATATGCATATATAATGCCCTGAGTCCATTGAGTGGTGCTCATATATACCTGTTTTTAGGGCTTCCCATTTGGGATTAAATAACTTCTCAGGGAGCTAGTCCTCGGAGGAAACTAATTCTTCCTCCCTCAGTGTCCTTCATGTTGAAGTGAGACCCTGTGCAATTTCTCTCACCTACCTTGAAATGTCAACTGGTTTTGTTATGCAGATCCTGTTAGAATATCATACTATGGAGATTTCAGTGGTAAAGCTGCCCAATCGTGTCTAGAATGCATTAACTTGCAGCAGGTATCTTGTCTCTTTGGTTCCTACATACTTTCCAACCAACCCCCTTATGTGTTGTTCCCTGAATCTTAGGCTTAGAGGTTGCACTGTAGTTGTATCATTTAACTTTGGGCATCTCGCAATCACTTGTTCTCTGTGTTTGACCAGTTATGAGAGCTTTGCAATAGTTTCTGTTGTAAAAAGAAGCTTGAAGCAGGCATGTTTTAAAAACACAGAAATGTATAGGGGCTGGTGAGATGGCTCAGTGGTTAAAAACTGTTCTTGCAGAAGACCCAGGTTCGAATCCCAGCACCACATAGCAACTAACAACTGTCCAGAACTCCAGTTCCAGGGAATCCCTGTCCTCCGTGGGCATTGCATGGCACAGGTGTGCTTACCTACATGCAGGCAATACACGCATACATATAAAATAAAAATAACAACAACAATAAAAAAAAAAAACCCACAGAAATCGGCTTGGACAAATGGCTCAGCAGTTAAGAGCACTGATTGCTCTTACAAAGGACCTAGCTTCAATTCCTATCACTCACATGGTGGCTAACAACCATTTGTAACTCTAGTTCCAGGGGATCTGATGCCCCCTTCTGATCTCTCTGGACATTGCGTAGCATGGGTGCACTTACATACATGCAGGCAATACACTCATACACAAAAAATAAAAATAAATAAAAATTATATATAAAAAGTCAAAAATTAAAGTGGACTCATTTCAGTGACAGGGCACTGAGAGTTCTGTATTGTCATATTTTGTCACTACCGAAAAAAAAAGTAAAAAATTACCTTCACTAATTAGTTAAAAAATCCAGAAAAAGACTGTGTTATGCTGTTCTGTAAAAATTCTTTTGTGTCTTTCTGCTGCAATTTGGATAACCTTCCCTGTGATAGAATACCTTTCCAAATCCCCAACCTCTTTGTGTATCTTTCACAATAAAGTCTCTATTTTATGAAATCCAAACCTTTAATTTCTGGGCATATGTCACCTTTCACACCGCTGATCCTCCCTTGTCTAGAACATTCTCCCAAACAGGTCTTGGTCTCTACCTGTCTATTTTGTGGTTTTGATGCTTTTTTTTTTTCCAAGTAGGTGATACTTTCTTTTCACTCCAGTCTAGACTGGAACCTCTTCCCTATTCCTAGACCCCTAGTTCAAATGCGTGGCATTGATCACTTGTCTATTATGTCCCTAGTTTATTGCTCACTTCTCTGTCTCAGGTCTCGGTGTAGTTTGTGATGGGCAGTACACTGCCCAGTCTGACATGTGGCCCAAGTGCCCAGTCCACTGCCCGGCATGAGTTATTAGAAGATAAGTGCACAACTAATGAACAACTTCAAAATGATTAAATATGCCAATACACTTGAGAATTTTTAAAGACAAAACAAAAAATTCTTCATTATATTTCAATGTACTCAATATGTTACTAAGAAAAGGTGTTAACATTTGTGTAACTGTAAACTAAAAGTTCAACAGCAGACTTGAGAACTCAAGTCCTCAGTTCAGAATACATACATAGGGGGGGCTGGAGAGATGGCTGCGTGGTTAAGAGCCCTTACTGCTCTCTCAGGGGATCCAGGTTCAGTGCCCAGCATCCACATGGTGGCCAACAGCCATCTGTAACTTCAGTTCCAGGGTGTCTGACACACCCTTCTCTGGCCTCCTTGGGTTTGCACGCACATGGTACACTTACACAGATGACAAAACAACTAAAATAAAAATAAATAAAATTTTAAAAAACTAAACACAAAACATAGTACATGAATGTGGATCTTAAAAATCTTACTAATTTTAGTTGAAACTCCAATGCGACTGGATTATTCACGTTTATTACAGAGAAAAGAAAAGTAAACATGAGGAATCAGAGGTCTGACTTATAAGCACTGCTTTCTCCAAAGGCATTTTCAATTCATTTGAACATTTTCTAGATAGTTTCTGTTGCATAAGAGTTTTCATTAGCTTATTTATCTTTTACTGAATATTACCATTTAAACAGAGACTGTCTCCTGACTGGTCAGTGTCAGGAAAGAACATAGAAGTGATTCCTGATAAAACAAAGTATTTTCTTTGGTTTTTGACTTTGTTTTAACTCAATTACTTAGGCAAGTGTTAACTTGGAGAGATTTCAAAGAATGTTATTGAGCATGGCTATGAATTTTGATAAATTTCTCTGTGCTTTAAAAGAAGTTTTTTTTTTTTTTCTCTGAAAACAAAATGCAAGGGTTAATCTCCACCCTGTTTAATGATAGAAGCTTCGGAAGTCTGCTTGATGTACAGGAAAACACACATCAACTAAAACTACTTGATGGAGTTAAGTTTTAGGCATCTAAAATTTTCGGGAAAAATGCCTAATAATGAATGCTGTGGACATTCTGAAATGTCCAATGCCTGGAAATACAGGAAGAAGCAATCTGTTGAAGACAGACCCTTACCTAATGTTTCTTTTGCAAGGAGCAAACTCAGAGTCAGAGTAATAATCCTCTTGAAAAAGATGTGCACCATTTTAAGTACTTAGATTTGCCTTGAGGGCTTGGGACTGAAGGTTGTTCTTGACCTTGAAGGTCCCAGTGTATTTCTGCCAAGGTAAAGTCTAATTAAAATATGGTTCCACCTCCAAAGTAAAAAACTCAACCAATTCAATGATGATGACTTTGAAAATATTGTGCTCATTTTTTGCTATGAGTATCTTAGAGGAGCTCACAATTAATTATGCATTAAGCCTAAAAGAAATGTCTTACTCATGAGCTTGGAGTAGATAATATTTATTAAACACTAGGTATATGCCAAGAGTTCCCATTATTGACAGAATTTGAACACATACTTTCTCTAAGGCATTACATATCACTGGCTTCTTTGAAAAATGAAGTAACATCGCCCATGCTGACCAGGTCTATGGAGATGATGTATTCATGGGACTCAGTTTCCTCATCAGTGAAGTCATTAAGTGAAGATTCAGAGTGAGTGCTGAAGTGTGTGACCCCTATGCTGCCTTTCAGCTCATTTTATGATTATAAGTAATATAACTTTATTCCAACTTAAATTCTCCTCATCAATCAAACACTTAGCTGCTTATTTTACAAATATTGCTTAAACTTCTGTAAGCTAGTGCTGCTAGAACAGCAATGTGAACTTAATTGGGTGAAAGCATACAAAACTATTCCAATTTGACATATTGCCTTTCCGTGTATTAGTAAAGAATCGGATAATATGCAACTCCCCGTTCTCCAGCGAGTACAGCCTGAGAACGTGCTGTTACTGCTTTTCATGCATATTACTTTTCTTTTTTTCAAATTGCTGCTTAAAGCAGTGGCAAGAATAAAAATAATCCCTTTGCAAGAATAACTTAACTAGGTTCCTTTATGTTTTATACAACTCATAAAAACTATTCATTTTAAACATCAGACATCATACCACTGAGATCATTTTTGCATTAGTGTTTAAGAAGGGATTTTAAAGATACATTTAACTGCTATAGCTTCATTAAAGTAAGAAGATCTATTTAGAACAACATAGACCAGATTTCCAGAAAATATGTATATGATCCCAAGTGTCTGATCATTCTGTGACTGCAGGATGTTAGTCTTTACGGGTGAAGAAAAAAGCCAGCAACAAATCTTGTGGTAGTGATCTGCCAGAAAGAGCAATTGCAGGCTGAGAGAGACTATTTCTGTGCTAAACAGGTGAATTTTTGGCAGAGAGTCACATTGTTCTCTAGCTAATTTAGTGAAGCTTTCAATGAATTAGACTTAGTTGTTGAGCTTTGCTGAAGCGTTGGGGGGGGTGTCAGAATCCTGTCAAGGACCAAAGCTTATAGCATTTGAAAGAGAAAGAATCTCTTGACTTATCAGGGGCAGCCTTGAGAGACAGGGATATCTAGATAGGTAGGACTGTTAGCATACACTTCAAAAACCAGGCACGTTTTTAGAGAGTTTGGCAAAATGCTTTCTGATTTTATTTTCCTCTGAGGACTTCATTGTGATATTTGTTAAGGAAAAATGAGGAAGAGGAGCAGAAAGAAGAGGAAGAGGATGAGGAAGAGAACGAGAAGCCAAAGAGGAAGAGAAAGAGGAGGAGAGAAGGAAGAGGGGAAGAAGGGCAGGAGGAAGAACAGAGCATGAAACGAGGAGGGGGAAACAAAACAAACCTAGCAGCTAATGACATAAACAGGTGAGCTATGAAAACAACTGTTGACTCTATGAAAGTCAAGGTGAGCCAACAGAGATTAGTGGTCTGTGTCTCTTGTTTAAGGTTTCTCTTCTAGACAATGTCTGTTGTTGAGGCAATATGTCTGTGGTTTATTCTCGGTTTTTGTATATTGTGAGCTCAGTTGTGACAGTAGTCTGCCTTGTGTGACCACTTCGGCCTTTCCCAAATTCTAGCAATGAGCACCCCCGGTTCTCATGAACCCTGCTTTCTAGCCATTCACCCATGTTTCCAAAACTAGCATCTCACCAGAATCGTCGGCCTCTTGCCTGTGTTTCATAATTAACAGATTGTTCTCATATTAGCAAGGGATCAAGGGAGCAAGACTGAGAAAAATTTCATTCTTTTTGGATCCTGTTCTTTTCATCAGCTCTATTAATGGTTCCCAGACATGCAGCTTTTGTAGTCTAGTAAAATCACAAGAAGAAAATGGGCTTGGGAAGGGGAAAGAGAAATATGTAAAATAGAGCTATCAGTTCTTAATAGGAAGAGAACACACACACACACACACACACACACACACACACACACACGATCCCATTATAGCCAGCCATCTATATAGAAAAACCTGAGGAGGCAAGTGCCCGTGCTGTGTGTTGTAGGCAGCTTTCTACTAACCACCTGCTTCTTTCCCTTTGAGTGTGTATGGAAGCTTCCAGAACTAATGAGGAGTCTATCACCACCAAAGAAGTCCATACAGACACACTCGCTGAGGTTTTGCTTCAACTGGGTCATCGTGAGCCAGGTTCCATCTTTGTGATCAGAATAGAGAAAGCATGATGGTATGGGAGTTTCTCTGAAGACTGCTCAGCGTTCTCCAGTTAGGCTCACCGCATAGGCCAATTCCGTTTTGTCTTTGTCAAGTAAGAAAATAAAAATGTAATAATGAAATAAAACATTTTTGCGCAAATATTATTTAAAATGAAATAATTTACTTACATTTACTATAAATTAACTCATTACTATATTGGTTGTACTTTTATGTATTAAAAATATTTTAGGGGCTGGAGAGATGGCTCAGAGGTTAAGAACACTGGTTGTTCTTGCAGTAGACCCGGGTTCGAATTCCAGCACCCACATGGCAGCTAACAACTGTCCATAACTCCAGTTCCATGGGATCCGATGGCCTCATCTGTTCTCTATGGACATTGCATGACATGGGTGCACTTACCTACGTGTAGGCATAACACTCATACACATAAAATAAAAATAATAAATAAAATATTAAAAATATTTTAACATAATCACTAACCCGTGTGCCCTAGTTAGCTTTAACTGCCAACTTGGCACAGCCTAGAGACCCCTGAGGGGAGAGTTTCAATTGAAGAATGTTCTAGATCATATTGGCCTCAAACAAGTCTGTGGGGGATTGTATTGATTGTTAACTGAAGAAGAAGGCCCAGCCATTGGTGGGTGGCAGCATCTTCTGCACATGTGGCTCTGAAGTGTTTAAATACTAGCTGAGCAGAACCCGGGCCAGCAAGCAGCATGCTCTATGGCTGCACTACTTTGGTTATGAAGAGAGATAGTTCATTGGTTGGAGGCAATGTTGCGTAGAATAGCAAGCAGGCCTGTCCTCAAGTTCCTGCCTTGACATCTCTCAGTGATGGACTGTAGCCAGGAATTGTAAGACAGATAAATCGTTTCCTCCTGTGAGTTGCTTTGGTCAGGGCATTTTATCACAGTGACAGAAAGCTAACTAGAATATTGTCATCTTCTCGGAACTAAAGGAAGCCGAGCCACCAGTCTTTGTAGGCCAGGGAAAGCCACCTTAGCGAATTGAGACACTTTCCACATTACATCTGTAGCTCACTGAGCCACATCGGGCTATCTGTCGGCTGATGTGTTGCTTAGCCACTAGCTTTGATTCTTTTCCATTGATCAGTCAGCTGCGCTGCATCTTTCCCTTGCATTATGTTAACATGCACCAGGTGGCGATAAACATGCACACAAAGCTAGTGTCTTCCATCTGATGTGAGAATTCATGACTTTTTCTTAAAAGGATTCATATTTCAAAATTCACTTAATTTTCTTATTAAGAAAAATTGAACACTGTGTAACAAAATCAAGTCTACAGAGCAAAGACCAAGAACAGTATAACACCCCAAAACAAGTATTTGCTAAAGAGTGTTAATTTTTTTGCTACATTTACCTTGATCTCCATATTTTATATTTACTTACTTGCTTATTGTTTTATTTTTATTTTAGAGTGGGTCCCATACATCCCAGGTTGGCCTTGAACCTGATCTTCCTGAGGACGTGCACCAATATAACTGGCTCTATAATTTTCTAGTACAACTTTTAAATGTGTGATTCACTACAAAATCGGTGCCATGTCACATCTCGTATTGCCTTGATTCTCTGTCGGTTGGATCCTTGTCTGTATTCCAAGGTTCCTGCTCTGCTCTTCCATCTCTCCCAAGGCTCCCCGGAGTGACGAGAAGGTAGTTTTCACACCGCTTCTCCCTCACACATTGCAGATTTCAGTTCTTCAACATCACACATCTACAAGCCGCTTACAACTCTACTCCACAGTGAGCAGAATTGACAGAAAGGGAACGCTTACTTAGTTATCTGTGTCAATTGGCATGTGCACTGGGGACCAAACCCAGGTTGTCAGGACCACTGATGGCAATTGGAATTTAAGGACAGTCTTGCCTTAATCGTACCAGTACGTAGCAGTTCTGGTTAGAGTTCTGAGGAATGTGATTAGGGGAGGAGAACAGGGGTTAAGAGTAGAAGAGGAACCCTGTTAGCACAGATGACCCCCATGGTTGCTTTCCATCACTGGGTTAAACCAGATACTCAGAGCACTGAGTTTTGAGGTAAAAAATCAAATAGCCTCTCTCTCAGCCTTCCCCTGGGAGATTAAAAAGCACACGTGATTGAACGGTAAGAAGACTTGGGATATGATCTGTGCTTGGCTCAGTGGGAATCTAATTTCTTTCCCATTGGCTTGCATCATTATTAAATAAACATTTTATCTTATGAGTTATAAACTCATTCATTTATAATGTGGATCTGTGCTATTTTATTAGAGTTGTCAAAAAAGTTTAGGAAACTTACTTCTTTCCTGAGAATTTATCCACAAAGATGACAGTATATAATTAGAGGAAATATATAAATATGCAAAGTAACTTCCCTGTTCATTCATTACCACAGAGCGTCAGAACCATACCGCAGCTATGACCTAGTATGGCCTAGTGGCGTGCTATGAAATCAGTTTAGAAAATTGCAGCTTGCGTTGTGTGTGTGTGTGTGTGTGTGTGTGCCTGTGGAGGTCAGAGGTCAACCTCAGATGTTCCCCAGGTGTTTTCTACCCTGAGTTTTGAGTAAGGACTTCACATTGGCCTGGAGCTTGCCAAGCAGCCTGGACTGGTTGCCTGCAGGGGCCAGGATTCATCTGATTTTCTTCTCCTATGATAGGGTTACAAGGCAGCATCACCATCACCACTCCTGACTTTTTGATGTAGATTCTGGTGATTTAACTTAGCTTCCAGTACATGCAAAGCAATCCCTTTGCTGACTGAACTATTTCCTCAACCTATTATTTTCAATGCAGGAAATGATAGATGGACTCAAAAGAATAGTTTGGAAGATGAAATATTAGAGGTCATAGCATGCAGTAAGGATGTGGACTTTATGGAGAACTTCATTGGCATGGACTGTATGTGAAACCTCTTTCATCAGCTTGTCATCAAAATGTGTGAGAGTCGCTAGTAGAGTTTTCTCTCAGTATGGGTGGAACAACAGGGTCTTAGAATAGCTGTAGGACTGGTTCACATTCACACAGCTAGCTTATGTAATGGAAGGAATAAAAACCAGCTTTTCTGATTGTTCTTACCTGTTGATATTTTTCGGAGGTAGAGCATTTAACAGGCCATGTGGACAGAGAACTCTTTAGAGAAGTAGGAAGGCACAGACACCCTTCTGTATTTGACTCAAGTAAGAGACTTCAAGTTTAAATGTAAAAATATTGAAGTGATAGAATTCTAGTCTGAAGTTCTAATGTAAACATCCTAGGTTCTGCTATTTTTGAAGATATTTAACTATTTTCCAACCCAAATTTGACTTCAAATGTGAGATGGCCTCAAACAGAGAGATACGGGGACAAAAATGAATGGGAATGTGGCTGTTGGGGTCTCAGTGTCTATAGACAATTCTTAATTATCAATAATAACGGAGGGTAGAGGGTCCTGGAGACCTCCTGTCTATGCAGTAGATGGATTTGAGGAAACATGGAAGACGGGGTGATCTTTCTCCAAGCAAATTTGGCCATTTGCATACACATCATTTTGAATTTGTTAAAATTCATATCTTCTGGCTGTCCTGAATTGGATCAGACTGAGGAGTTTACTTTGACATAGGCTGTGTGTCTTTTTACACCCTGTAAAGTCTGAGACGCACTGAAATCAGATGTGAAAGGGATCAAGTGTCAATAATCATGAAAGTAGCTCTAACCTAATTTCCTTAGATGTTTGTTAGTAACTCAGAGCTCGAAGATGCCAGAGAAGTGGTGGCAATGCACTGAGAGGGCCACGATCGATCTGGTATATCGATGTTTGCCCTACTTAGTAGGAGTCAAAATTTGCCTTCCACAGTGCATTTAATTGCCATTATTCATTTATTCACCCCTCACTCAACCCTGAATGCTTGCTACACACTTGTTACTCTGCTGAGCTCTAGGAATCCAGAGGTGAGCAAAGGATCCTGTTAGAAGCACTACTTCCAAATTCTCTCTCCCAACCTAATAGATTCTCTGGTCCTTGGAAATTACAGGCTCTTGTTTGTCATGACATACTCTCCTTTCCAAGTCACAGCTGAATG